AGTTTTTCAAAATTTTAAGTGAGAATTTTATTTAAATATTTCTTGTGATGTGTTAAATCCACGTATTCTATTTTTGTAAAAGTGTATTCAGTTTTTTATGTCATGAACTAAGTATATAGTTCAATAATATAGTGTAATGTCTTAGTCTTTTGTTTTAATTAAATATATATATATATATATATATATATATATATATATATATATATATATATATATATATTTTATTAGTTTATATAATGTTATTATATATTGTTTTATATTTATATAAATATATATATATATATATATATATAAATTATTATTAATTATGTATTGTTATTATATATTTAATATATATTTATATATATATATATATATATATATATATTTCTTATTAGAATTATATATTGTTATATATGTATTGTTTTCCTTTATATACATATATATATATATATTTTATATATATATGCATATATATATATATTTACATTTATAAAATATATTATTATATATTTAAATTTTCATTTATATATATATATATATAAAAGGATTTTAAATATTAAAGAAATAATGTTTTTGTTTTTTATTTTTTTTTTCATAAATAAAATTAATGAAAATTTTATTCCGTATGATTTCTGATGAAGCTGAATATGTATTAGTTTTAATCATATATAAGTGTGCTTATATAAATCTTTATTTTTAAACAAATGAAATGTTCCTTTAATGTAATTTCACTTTTTTTTTGTTTTTTTTCAAAATGAAATTGAATACATTTTTAAAAAATTTGTTCTGATTTTCCAATTGAGATTTTAAAAGAGGTTTTATTAATACTTTGAAAAATATATATATATATATATATATATATATATATATATATATATATTATAGAGAGAGAGAGAGAGAAAAGAGAGAGAGACGCATCTCTGTGTCATCTTGAAAATCAGCAAAATTGGGCAATTTTTTTTGTTTGGCAGGGAATGTAGTTAATTATTTTTCAAGTGTCTAATCACGCACTCCTTTGTCCATCAACCATCGTGGCATATCAATACAAAACCATTTTTCCTGAATACAGACCACAGGGACTTATGTGTTCATGCCTTTCTCAAAGGTATTACTACTAGGTGAACAAAAGAAGCCAGCATTGCAGTTCGTTTTTGCGAATTTATGTTCCGCGCCGATAAAGATGTACTTACTTACTGTTACGCTTTTTCGTACCTACATGTACACGCAAACACACACAGATTTTTTTTTTTTTAATTTTATATATCAAAAATAACTTTTAGGGAATGTTATAAAAAAAAGTGGAAAATTTTTTATGACAACCAACGAATCAAAATATATTGCTCTACCCACTCTGAAAATACAATTGAAAAGAATTTTTTAAGCATAACACAATTTATTACAAATACATCTAAAACAATAAGAGATAATAAATACAAAACAAAATAATAATAGGCTAAAATCTGAATAAGTAATTTACTTTCTCAGCTGTAATAATTGTTAAATAGGAGAAACCCCAAAGAATTTAAATAAAACATTCTATGAACACAAAATAGATATTTTACGATGCGCTCAATGCATTAGTTGCTTAATGCGGGATATTTAATAACAAAAATGCTTAATGCGGCATATTTAATAAAAGAATTGATAAAAACGTAAAGAAAAAGAAACTAAATGAAATCAGCTAGTCTATATATCCACAACATATGTTCAAAATTAAAAAATAAATTAACATAAAACTTAAAATACTCATCATCCCCCCTCTTCTTCATACGCATATATATTCGCATCAACATAAACATCACTTTAGTCCGATGAAGTCCTAAATGTATAAATGTAGTGCACTAAAAACGCAGATATATGTATATTTATTAATGTATATTTCTTAGCTCTGTCTAACCACATTGAGCACTGTTTTGTTTACCCTTTATATTAAATTGAGTAAATATTTATTCGCTAGAAATACTAAATTTAATTCCTGATATCTGATATATGGTTTTATATCCCCATTTGTATCGACATATATATATATATATATGTTTAAATCTTATATATATATATATATATATTTTAGATTAAATATATATATATATATATATATATATATATATATAAATATGCATATATATATATATATATATATATATATATTTATATATATATATATATATATATATATATTTTAAATGAAAAATTATTAACATTTTTTTTTTTATTATCAACTTTATCCTGAAATTATGAAATCTTTTCATATAATATTCACGTGTAGATATTTAAAAAATCTGCCGTTTGAAAATAAAAATATATATTTTATTATATATATATATATATATATATATATATATATATATATATATTTAAGAAACGAGATTTTTTTTATTGTTTTTGCAAAACATTAAAATAATATTAAGATTTATACCGTTAATTTTATTTATGAAAAGATTTTTAATTAGGGATAAAGTTGATATTTAAAATTTAAGTAATCTTAAAGTTTATATATATATATATATATATATATATATATATATATATATATATATATATATATATATATATATATATATATATATATATACAAGTTTTGTTAAAACGTAAAACAAGTTACTATGGTTAAGTTTTAATTGAATTTTTCTAGTGTTCTTATAATTTTCTTTTTCTTTTCTGGATATAAATTATGTAGAAATTGTACAAATGTTTTGTATGTCCATGAGCTTTCGTTAATACTTTTAGCCTTTATCAAGTATGGTTTTATTTATTTTACTTTTCACTGAATGTATGGAATTTTTCTTTATCTATCAATGTGCTGACCAAATTTGGAAAATAAAACATTCCTATCTAGTTATATACCTAAAAAATCAGTTAAATGTAAAAAAAAGAAAAAGAAAAACATCCTTGATAATGGCTAAAAGTGTATCCGAAAGTCGATTTGTAAGGAAGGTGATATTATAGAGAGACGATTCCGGCGTACAAAAACTTTTGGTAACCATACCTCGGGTTGACTCAAATATTTGAACTGAAACTAGGTTGTGAGATGTCGGTGATTGTGCTAGCGCGAAATGACCAGTCATCGTGACCGAGAGTTTGAGTGTACTGGCATTATTCAAACTAGTGATCACACACTATTATTCTCTCTAAGAAACTGTAACAGTTTTCTTCAGTTTAGATTCAGCATAAACCACAAATGCTCACTGTATACCTCGAAAAATTCGCTAAAATAAGTATAGCATGTTGAAACTATGACCCAACCTTAATAAAAACAATTTTTTATCGTCAAAATCTTTTATCTTATTATTAAGAGAAAAGAAAAAAAATATTGATTTTTTTTTTTATCATTTTTTGGAACGTTAAAATTTTATTTTTCTTTCCTCAGCGGGTGGCCATAAATTAATATAGGAAATTTTAGGATCGTTTGCGATGAAAAATACATTAATTTGGAAATTCTTGCAAAAATCAGATAATTGTCAGATATCAATGAAACTTTCAGGACTTATTTACAAATGAACTAAATTATTTTAGAATTTTTTTTTTTAAATCTTGATAAAAACATTTCTTTTTTAAATCTGTTACAACTCACATTTAATTTTATGAAATTTCAAGAAGTTCATTTTTATAAGGCTTAATGTTTATATTAGTTATAAGTAGAAGTCCTTGGAGAATTAAAATCATCATTTTTTTGTAAAACAGGACTCCCAATTAACGAAAATCTGCTCTGAGTCATAAAATAAAAAAATGCTATAAAACTAAGACATTATTTAATTATCAAAGCTGTTAATTGTTTTTATGAATAAAAAAATATGAACACTATTGTTTTAATAAAAATAATTTTTGGTTATTAATGATTAATGAATTTTAACAAGAATTGTTTTCATTTTTTCTTTTAATTACTATAATTTGTAAAGTTGTAAATCTTTTAAAATGTTGTATTAATTTTTGCGGGTTAGGTAATATCGTTATTAAGTAAAACCTATATTTACTAATCATAAATTGAAAAGCTTATTACAATTTAGCAACCCCAGTATATTAATTAGAATTTTGATTATTTTTTTGTGTGTGAATATACGTGCCGATTTTTGTAAATACGGGTGTCCATATATGGCATTAGCGGAAAATAAGAGCGGTAGCTGTAATAAATTTAAAGCCAAAGTACATAAAATTCAATAAAACATTAGATTACAGTGAATATTTTCCTAAATTTTTAAGATTACTGGGTAGTTAAAAATTATGTAAGTGTGAGGTAACTCAGTTTCATGTCTGGTGTGATCTTCTTTGCCTTGAAAGTAAGGCGTGAAACTAAGGCTTACGCTAAATATATCTACAATCTTTATTATTATTATTATTATTAGTAGTAGTAGTAGTAGTGGTAATATGTTTTGATATGGGTGTTGAATAAATATATAATAGATATTTTATATATATATATAAACATTTTCCCACTTTCTTTCTTCGACTTTATAATTTCTCTACTTGATACTTAAACTGATTTTTTGATCTGTTCTTTGGTAAAAATTTCACTAATTATTCTTAATTATTTTTTTCTCACTTTTACGTTTAAGCAAAATTTCTACCAATATTTTCTTTACATTTTCATATAAGTATCGTTCAAATTTATTAACGTTATTCTTTATAAAAATTTGTATATATTTACAGTTTTCGCTTTTTTTTCTTTTCTTTTCTTTTTTCCAAACATGAACAATTTTATTTTTTTAACAATAATAAATTTTGATACATTTTAAAATTCATTTTATTTTATTTTTTTTACAGAACAAACATTTGGAGAAGTCAACCAGCTTGGTGGCGTATTCGTGAATGGCCGACCACTCCCAAATGCCATCCGACTGCGTATTGTGGAACTTGCTCAGCTGGGGGTAAGACCATGTGATATCAGTCGACAGCTACGTGTATCTCATGGCTGCGTTAGTAAGATACTAGCAAGGTACAATGAGACTGGTTCAATACTACCAGGAGCTATTGGGGGAAGTAAACCCAGAGTGACTACACCGAATGTCGTACGACACATTAAGATGTATAAAGAAAAAGACCCTGGTATATTTGCGTGGGAGATAAGAGACAAGCTACTTGCTGATGCCGTCTGTGACAAATACAACGTTCCTTCTGTCAGCTCAATCAGTAGAATACTTAGAAATAAAATCGGAAACAGCAACCATAACAACACTAGTAATAACACTACCCAGCCAGCAAGTCCACAGTACGATAAAAATCCTACAGCAGCCCCACTTTATAACCAGTTCTATCCATACACGTGCCCGGCTCAAGCTATCCCTACTGTACCGACCCCGCAACATCCGTCGCAAACCGGTAGTTTACCATTAAATACAAAACCGGGGGCAATGTCCGCGGTAACACCGTGCATGATGAGGGCTTGGCCATCATCTCATACAGTTAATGACATTCTTGGGTTCCGTCCACCACAGTCCATGTCCCAACCTGCTCCACCAATGGACACTACAATCGGTCAAAATTACAACTACTACGGAGTCAATGTGAAATCTGCAGCTGTATCTCCCATGTATCTACAAAGCTGACTTCGTATAATGAATTCATACGACAATTTATTTTTTAGAGATCTGTAATGGAGATACTGAAAAATTAATAAACAGAAGACTTCATAAACGGAATAAATTTTATATTAATAAAACATTTCATCAATCACTGTGAGGTAAAAACAATATATTCAGATCCAGTTGAAAGTAGCCAAAATTTAATCGATATCCCAGGAATTAGATAATTTTTTTTCAGGTATTTGGAATTATCCTCAACTGTTAATTAATTATGCTGAACAATGGATAAATTGATTTATCTTTTATCTTTAAATAACTTTCATACTCTAAGAGGATGTTTCTTAAGTATACAAGATTGAGGAATTTATAATTTCCTGTAAATAAAATTAAGTGAAAACGAAATGAATAGGCTAGTAAATTTTAGTATGTACCTAATTTTAGTATAGTCTGACATGAAACTATTACATACCAGTTACTTATACTGAAAATGCTCATTCTTGTCTAACATTTACTCTTCAATAGAGTGGAGAAGATATCCGATTTTCTGTGGTTGATCAGACTAAAAATTATTACATTTGATCGGAGTTTTGAAATCTCAAACAAATGAATATGTGAAAATCAAGATTATATTTTAAAAATAAATATGCGTAAAAGAAGTTAACTGATAGTCAAGTGTGCATCAACATTTAAAAAGTGATAAAATGTGAGTGAATTACACGTATGAAAAAAACTGACTTTAAAATTAAGAACTGCTACAAATTTATTAATAATTTGAATTAGGTTCAAAACCATCACATTTCAAAAAACTTTGAATCAACACAGTCAAACAATAACAGGCACAGGAGTGCGCATGCGCGCGCTCGCACAAACACAGAAACATACACAGAAACACTGCACATACCACTTGAAGTTAAATGAAATAATTTCATCAAAAGAATGGATATTTTAGCTAAATACTGAATGTTTCATGTATCGCTACACGACGTGAGTGCTATTCGGTCTCTGTGGACTAATTTTTATTTGGAAAATAGTATAAGTTATCATCCCTGACTGGTGGACTAAAAAATACAATTTAAGTTTTCTTCTCTTTTACTTTTGCATCTAATTTACATTGAATAACTTTTTTTTATTACTTATAGACATATTTATAAGGGACCGTGTGCAATTATTGTTTAAATGAAGCAGGATCGGCGTTTCCTTTCTTTGATGCTACTAATCATGGATCCGAATTGGTTTTCTTTTACCTCGCAGTTTTGCACGTCATCTCCCGACTGTCTGATAAAGCGATCTATCCCGAAAGTAGCGTATATCGTGGTGTACAAACAGTGGACATAGGTTTGTCAATATGTAGGACTACCGAACTGTTTTAACATCACAGAAGATGCTCTGATTTTATTTTCATTTTTGTTGACTGAATCAACGTCATTGTCGAAGCAAATAAGGTGTTGCTGATTTTCGACTGGCCGATGAGATTTTATCTTGAACTCATTCTTGTAACAACCCTAATTTCAGTTGACATATTCCAGAAGAAAAAAAAAGCAAAAACAAACAAAAAACAAAATTAATATATTTTTCAAACAAAAATAAAGAAAAAACTCGTTCATTTATTCATTGCCAATCGAAGACGAGGTTTAGAAATGAATCATAAGGAATAAGTATGAATATAAAGTACAGATTTTCTTCCCGGAGCAATTAACACTGGAATGTAAAATCTCTTGTGTGAATTATAAAATTAAAAAAAAAAAATGAAAACAAATTTAATGCTAGAAAAAATATTCAATTGAAATAAAAATATTCTAAAGACTTAAAAGTACACAAAATATTTTTTTTTAGTAACGTCATCATTTCTGTTACTTTTCATACTTTTAGGAGGCATAAGTATTTTTTTAAATTAAAATTCAGTAAGTTTTGTTTTGTATCATTAAAGAAGTAAATGACTTATGCTTATGTTTTTTTTATTTTACTTTTTCCATTCCGCTTTTTATTTATTTATTTTTTAAATCGCGAACGTATTTGTGTAACTTATCTTTTCTTTCTTTCTTTCTACTTCTTTATTTACTTTTCTTTCTTTTATTTTTATTTATTTTATTTTTAATTATTTCTTTATTGTTTTAAACCGAAAACATATTTTCTAACTTGTTACCTTGTCTTTCTTTTCTTTTCTTTCTATTTCTTTTTATTTATTTTCCTTTTTAATTATTTATTTATTGTTTTATTCTGAGAACATATTTTCTAACTTGTTATCTTGTTTCCTTTGTTTCTTTCTTTTCTTTCCATCATTCCATATTTTCTTTCTTTCTTTACTTTACTGTACTTTTCTTTCCTTTCTTTCTGTGTTCCCATATTTTTTTTTTCAATTCATATTTTCTTTCTTTTTTCTTTCTTTTTTTACTTTTTCTTTCCTTCCTTTTTCGTTCTTTCCTTCCTTTTTTCGGTCTTTCTTCTTTTCTTGGTTCTTTCTTTCCTTCCTTTCTTGGTTCTTTCTTTCTTTCCTTCCTTTCTTGGTTCGTTCTTTCTTTCCTTCCTTTCTTGGTTCTTTCTTTCCGTTCTTTCTTGGTTGGTTCTTTCTTTCTTTCCGTTCTTTCTTTCCGTTCTTTCTTTCTTTCCGTTCTTTCTTGGTTCTTTCTTTCTTTCTTTCCGTTCTTTCTTGGTTCTTTCTTTCTTTCTTTCTTTCCGTTCTTTCTTGGTTCTTTCTTTCTTTCTTTCTTTCTTTCTTTCTTTCTTTCTTTCCGTTCTTTCTTGGTTCTTTCTTTCTTTCCGTTCTTTCTTTCTTTCTTTCTTTCTTTCTTTCCGTTCTTTCTTTCTTTCTTTCTTTCTTTATTTCTTTCTTTCCGTTCTTTCTTGGTTCTTTCTTTCTTTATTTCTTTCCGTTCTTTCTTGGTTCTTTCTTTCTTTCTTTCTTTCCGTTCTTTCTTGGTTCTTTCTTTCTTTCTTTCTTTCCGTTCTTTCTTGGTTCTTTCTTTCTTTCTTTCCGTTCTTTCTTGGTTCTTTCTTTCTTTCTTTCCGTTCTTTCTTGGTTCTTTCTTTCTTTCTTTCTTTCTTTCCGTTCTTTCTTTCTTTCTTTCTTTCTTTCTTTCTTTCTTTCCGTTCTTTCTTTCTTTCCATCTTTTCTTTCGCACTTTCTTTCCTTCCTTTCTTCGCTCTTTCTTTCCTTCCTTTCCTACCTTCTTTCTTTCGGTCATTCCATATTTTCTTTCTTTCGCCCTTTTGTTTTTTCTTTAATAGGACTTCTTGATTTAGACCAGGTGATATTAATTTCATTGTTTCATAAAATGAAAACAGCGATATAAAGTCAATCACGTATACCCACTAAAAATAACGTTTATAATAAAAGAAAAACACCGACACACATGCACACACACACATTTTTTTACTATTTTTATTTAGTATTTCCAGTTATGCCGAAGAAACTAAATAAAAAATGAATTAAATATTCCTTGTGTGTCATATTCAACAAAGTGTTTAATATATATATATAATATATATAATGCATAAAATGTTTATGGTCAAAGTTGGATAAAACCAAGAAACAATGGTATTAATTAGTGCTCAATACACGTATTTAAGCTACAGCTGCACTAGTAATTTAGAAATAATAATAATAAATAGACAAAACGCCAGAAATTTCAAAACTAATGCACAACAAAATATAGTTAACACTAGTAATTTATGCAACTGTAGAAATAAGATTAGATGTCCATTAGATGGAACTTGTAAAATCGAAGCAGTAATCTATAAAGCAGAAGTAACAGATATTAATTGCCAAAATAAAACGTTCGTAGGATGTAGTGAAAGTACTTTCAAACGTAGTTGGTACAATCATAGGTCGTCATTCAACCTAGTAAATCTTAGGTACTCTACAAGGTATATTCAATAATTCGCCGAAAAACATCATAGCATCAAGAAAAAAGAAACTTACTAAAAACAAAGTTTTATAGCGAAGAAAAGAATGGCTCCAAACTTAATAAAAACAAAGTTTTATCGTGAAAAACTTTTGTTATTAATAAGAGGAAAGACCAAAGTATATTTTAATTATTTTTTTTTACTCCTTTCTGATACGTTCGAAATTTTGGTTGGAATTTTTTGTTTTTATGTCAGTGGTCGCGTAATATTTGATATTTGTTTTTTAGCGCTTTTTCTGTTGAAAAACACATTAATTTGGAAATTCTTGCAAAAATTAAATAATTGTCAGATTTTAATGGAACTTTAAGAACTTATTAAAAAAATGAATTAAATAATTTTAGAAATGTTTGTTTTTTAGAAAGTCATGGTAAAAATATTTTTTACATCTGTTAACCACTCCTTCCTTAATTTTATGAAAACTGAAAATTTGTAATTGTTTAATTAAATGCAAAAGAATATAAATCATCGATTTTTTGGTAAATCCAGGAGCGTTTCTACACAAACTTTAGCTCTGAATTGTAAAATACAAGACTCAATAAAACTAAAAAAAATTATTTAATTAAAAAAGCATTTAATGGCTTTTATGAATATGTATTAAGAACATTATTGTCTGAAGCGAAAATATTTTCTGATGAAAAATTAATTTTTACAAGAATTATTTTCTTTTTTCCAATTTTAAATACAAAATGTGATAAAATTAAATATCTTAAAATTAAGTAATGTGTATCTCTGGAAATGCTCTTATTAAAAGATCTATTTTTACAGATCTTAAATTTGAAAGTTTATTACATTCAGCGGAGCGTTTTTATTTTTACAATATTTTTAATATGCCAAAAGATGTATTAAAAACTTTTCTGGCAAAACTACGGAGACACAATTCAGAAATAATATCACGTGTTTTAAGAGTTTTTTCTCCTGATAGCAAGGATCCGACCTCATAAATTGTGTTTTCAAAATTTTTAATTTTCTTTTTTTTTTAACATATTTCACTGAATATTGTCTTTTCAGTTTTTTAAATATAATCATTTTTTTTCTTTTACAGTGAGAGACATGCTGCAATTATTTTTTTTTCTTTTTAAGACTCAATTTTAGGGACGAAAACAGTGCAGGTTTTGGACATATCTTCGTTAAAAAGTGCATAAAAATCAATAAAATATAAGACATTTGAAAGCATTTAATTTTAAGAATTAATTCATAGTTAAATAAGCTGGTTCGCTTAAAATTCGCAAATACAGAACTCATTCAAAAATGGATGAAATAATTTTAGAAATGTTTGTTTTTAGAAATTCATGGTAAAAATATTTTCTTATTACACCTGTTACACTCCTTCCTTAATTTTGAGAAAACTTGAAAACTAGAATGTGTACATTTCTGTATTTTTTTAATTAAATGCAGAAGACTTTGAAGAATATAAATCATCGAAAGTCAAATCATCCCTCCATCTAAAAGTCAAACTTCAAAATTGACAAGATTAGAAAACTAATACATAGAGAATTTAAGTACCTAAATTTAAAAGTCACTGTTAATACAAAATTAAATAGGTAAACTTCCTCGATGTGACATTAGACCTAATGAAAATTTATACCAACCATATAAGAAACAAAATACCAATCCTTTATATATCTACCCGAAGTCAAATCACCCCATCTAATAATAAAACATGTACCCAATGTAACGAATTAGTATAAACTCTACAAATGAAGAGATATTTTACATAGTAATTTTTATAATAAAGCTTTAAAGAATAGTGGCTATAAATGCCCCGATATTAAATATAAGGATGATAAAAATAAGTATAGAAAAATATAAATAGAAAAATCATTTGGTAGACTCCCACTTTTAACCAAATAGTTAGTATAGTAAGTTAGGACAAAAGATTTTTGCTTTGATTGAAAAACACTTTCCAAGAAATAATCCTCTTAGCAAGATTTTCAATAAAAATACACTAAAATTAAGTTATAGTTGTACTGAAAATTTAGAAAAAATTATGAAAAAAATAAAATTTTAATAAATACTTAAACCAAATTCATAATAATAGCGATTTTCGAACGAAAAACAATAATATTAATGAAAAATTATGTAATTGTAGAAATCCTATATTGTCCTTTGCAAAATAAATGTCTTATAGAATCTATAGTTTACCAATAAACTACTTCATCTGCTGAAAATCCAGGTATTAAAAAATTTTATATTGGTAGCACAAAAATTATTTCAAATTAAGATGGTACCAACATCTTACGTCCTTCAACAACAATGGGTATGGAAACCGAACATCCCTCTCTACATATTTTTGGCATTTAAAAGGAAAAAAGACAGAGTAAAATAGAAATTATTAAAAAATACGAGAACTTTTAGGTCATTAAATGACCCATGTCATCTATGCCTATATGAAAAGTTATATATTAAGTTTCTTAAAAATAAAGATTTACTAAATAAACGAAACAAATTAACTGTTTTTGTAGGCATTGTGTTACTTTCACATTAAAACATAATTAATGGGATTTTTATAAAATATCTATATTTTAAAATCATATATCTATTATTTAATTACATATAATGGTACAAAAAAATGTGTATCTTATTCACAAAATTTTAATTTCAATATTGCCATGTCTAATGTACCATTAAATATAAAAGTATTACATTTTAGATCATTGTAATTAATTGTATAAAAAATACATATAAAAATGATTAAATCATATAAAAAGCTCCTTTAAGACAGCCCTAAAATATAAAACATAAATAAAAAAAATAAAAATGCATAAATTAACCCATGGCTCGATACATACACCTCTTTGTATTTCAGTGTATCTTATAAATGTTCTAAAAAAGAAAGTGAGGATGACACGTTTAATACGCGACTGGCAATTCTAGACAACCATGCATTACATACCTACAACTAACCTCTAACCTAAATTGAAGAAGTGAAAGTCTTCTTCAATATAACTTAGATCTGTATTTAGATTCGACAAAAAAGACAACACCCATAATAAAATTTTGAAATCTCCTTCCTCCCCCACCCATTTAAACTCTTCAGTATAATACTACTTCAATTGCAAAAGTAAATCATTTTTTTTAAAGTTATTCAATATCGCTTGAAAATGGAACAATAATTTTAACTATCAGTTCTGAAACAGAAATTTCCGTGTCACGATTATAAAATATTTTTAAAATATTTTAAATAATATTATGCTTTACTTCATATCGAGCACGTTTTTTAAAAAAATAAATGCTAAAGAATTTAGATTGTTAATCTGATTTTTTTTCTATATATATATATATATATATATATATATATATATTTCTTCTCTCTCTCAATATATATATATATATATACATATATATATATATATATATATATATATATATATATATATATATATATATATATATATATATATATACATATATATATAACTATATATATATATCTATATATCTATATATATAAATATATCTCTATATATATAAATATATCTATATATATATATATATATATATATATATATATATTATCTATCTATATATATATATATATATATATATATATATACAGGGTGTCCCAAAATAATGTATACACTCTTTAAATATTAATAGTTAATAATACATTACCATGATGTGAGAACTTATATGGATGAAAATATACAAAACAGATGGATTGGAAGAAGAGGGACAGTTTGAACCCACCTAGATCACCAGATTTGACACCCTGGATTTTTTTGTGGGGGTTTCTAAAAGACAGAGTTTACAGCAGGAAACCTGAAACAATTACTGAAATGAGAGTAGCAATTGAAGAAGAATGTGCTCAAATACCAGAGGAAATGATACTGGACGTTTGTAGGTCTATTTCTTCAAGATATGAAAAGTGTATTGAACAGAACGGCAACCAGTTTGAGCACTTGATGTGAACTCATCATTATATGAACATTCTGCCATTGCCCCAAGTAGCTTTTTTTTATCTTATTAAAGTTAATTTTCTATGTTTTTTGTATATTTTACCCTCAAATTCATTAAATGTGGATTCTTTCTATTGTATTAATCTTATTTACAAGTCTAAATACATAGATTGAATAAGTTATAACGATTCAAAGCGTGTGTACATTATTTTGGGACACCCTGTATAATATAAAAACGGAGGCTATATAAAATTATCTTGCCACTTAAACCGCCTGAAGATTATGAGACAGCCGCATAACAAACTGAGAGTTCACGTGAAACTTTAATTAATTAAATAAGAATATTTATATATATATAAAGGAGAAAGTGTAAAATTTTTCTGAAAGGTATTTTAAAAATATTGCATTTAAATACAAATTACA